CATGGATTGGACAGGATAGCAGATATCTGGCGATTCACTTGGTGGCAACGTGTATAGTAATTAACCTAATAATAAGGTAAGCATTGAACTTAGTGATAAGGTGTGTAGTGATTATCTTAGGTGATAAAATGTATAGTGAAAGAGAGAGAAATTAATTAGCTGTCTCGTAAATGTAACGATGTCAACTGTAGGATTTCCAGGTAAGGAGATAACATCAGTTGTGATAATGGTAGGTGAAAGTTAAGTATTCATATGATTCATATTACCATTATTATAAAGATAATAATTATCATTAATAACAATGCCGTATGAGAAGGCAAATGTCGTCCTGAGAACTGCATTACCGATGGATGATCATATAAATTGTTAAGATATAAAATATTCATTAATTATTGTATTAATGATAATTATTATCTTGAAAATTGAAAGCGGTCGTTTCAGAATGTTACTCTCATCGATGGCTTCATAGAATTAATGGTCTCCAATTTGTTAAATGTATAATTTTAAAATTGTTTAGGTGATGAAATTGATAAAAACTATTGAATTGAATTTTTTTTCTATTTCTCTAAAATTTGACAACAACTTTGCCTTGATTAATCATTGTTTGATATGATTGCAAAATGAATAAGTCAAAGGAAATAAGCTAAATATTTTATGTTTTAGCAAAAAATTTAAAAAAAAAAGTGAAAAGAAGCTATGAAGCAACTTTCCAGTTTGTAGGATATTATTGGAGATTTGAGGATCGAAATAATCATCAATACCTGTAATCTGAAATCGAACATAGAAACATTTTATATATTTAAACGCCATAATATGTTTGTTGTACCAAACTGTCAACCAGCTATGGAACTTTACGGCTTGCTGGAAGTAAACTTGTGTACAAGTGAAGAGAATTTGGAAACAAGCAAAGCACTTGAACATCGTCTTCAATTATTGGGAATAAAAAATTCTACAATTCAGGAGAAATTAGGAGTAAAAACCTCTTTTGGTACTATTTAGTTGGTAAATTTTTTGAGTTTAATTAATTAAATAATGGGGATTAAGCAATGCAATTTTTGTAAACTTCGTATTTTTTCTTTTTTTTTCCCCTGTGAAGAGAATTTTGAAGTCATATAAATTGTTTGATTGATCTGCCTGATTTTGCTAAATTAATTTTTTGGCTTAAGATTTTTAACACAAGCTAACAAACTCTACAACAATAAACTATTTCCAAAAATTCCAAGTTGAGAATTCAAAAAAAAAGATAAAAAGAAAAACAAAAAATATTTTTAGAAACAAGCGATCTGAATAAGCCAATTACACCGATCACAGATCCATTTGAACCGATAAATTTCGAGCAGGTTGCTAGAATTTTCTAAGAAAAATGATTAGTTACTGATTCGTTTTCCATTCTGATTTAAAAATTATCACATTGAAATGACCTCATACCATAATAAAATTAATTTCAAATTTCGATAAATTTTTTGCAGAAATTAGAAAAAAATGAAATGACGGAAAAGAAATACTCAGCTCGATTATGGCTATGGCATAAATATTTAGCACAGCACGGTAATTGCTCATTGTGTGAGCGACCGCTTAATGGATTAAATGAAGTTAATAAATTTCAAATTTCGAATATAAAAACAAAAATAAATTTATGCAGCACAGTCCAATAAAGGATCGGCTAAGCAAATAGTAATTTCAATCATTCCTATCATTTTAACCAATCTAATTCCATCCACATTAATAAATTTTCCTACATCTCTTTTTTCTGATTCCCTGTAACTAAAAGATAAGCATGTTCATTTTTACTGTTTAACAACAATTTTTAAATCATATTTAAAGTTTAAAAAGAAAAAAAGACAGTCCAACTCAAATTTTATCAATAATTGAATGATAATAAAAATTGATACAAAATTTTTTCCACTCTACAAGCACTTTTATTTCACATTCATTGCAAATCGGTACACAATTCATTTAAAATGATAGCAGTAAAACAGCAATTAACGATTTCACAAAATCCATGATAAATTTAACAGTTTCTGAAAAGTATAATTTGCTACAGGTTGTGGTAATGTTAACATGTGCGCATGCTGTACATCCAGAATGTGCACAGGAAATATATCAAAATCGAAATGGCTGTCAAAGATGTGAAATTAATCAGATGCAATTGAAAAAGAGGAAACGAAGTAGAAAAGATCAAAGAAAGAAATGTCCGTGTTGCAGATAGTAGTGTGTGTGTGTGTGTGTCTGTGTGTGTGTGTCTGTGTGTGCAGTCGAATCCATTCATTATTGTTATGTTAAATGATATTTTACG